CAGGTTGGCACATGGTGGGTGGAAGCTCCTCAAACTGGGGAGACTCTGGACTTGAGCTCAGGGTGGGTTCTGCTGGGGCGGATTGGACAGTGGGTGGGTGATGGGGGAATGGATGAGCCACTGTCCGCTATGGTGGGTGTCCCCTTGATACTCGCCATGCCAAGGCACACGAGTGACCTCATACTCCAGGCCCCTGGACTCCCTGCTGACTGCTTTCTCTGGCCAAGAGCACGGGCTTGGTCTGTGCCCGGGGCAGCCTGCAGGTGGCTGATGTGCAAGGAGCACCCTTTGACCGTGATGGATAAGAGCTGGTGGGTAGGTACCCCGCTTCCTTGACCTCAGGTGGGACGGCTCAGGTGTGTCTCACATGATTCCACAGAGGACATCAGTGGGCCTGAATCCCAGTTACCAATAACAACTTGCTCGTTGTTATGGGCTGAATTGTGTCCTCCCAAATTCGTATGTTGAAACCCTAACACCCCCCCCCCGCCGCCCCAAGTAATTGTATTTGGAAATAAGGTCTTTATAGAGGTCATTAAGATTAAATGAGGTCATAAGGGTGGGGCCCAATCCAATAGGACCCGGGTCCTTATAAGAAGAGGAAGAGACCTCAGGGGTGTGTACACAGAGGACACACCATCTTCCAACCAAGGAGAGAGGAGGCCTCAGGAGAAACCAACCCTGCTGGCCCCTTGATCTTGGACTTTCAGCCTCCAGAAGTGTGAGAAAACAAATTCCTGTTGTTTAAGGCCCCTAATCTGTATAGCAGACAAATATGCTCATTAATGCAGCTGTTCTGGCTTTCTTTTCTTTCCTGTCTCAGTGCTCGGCTCCCTTATCAGTGCCTCCTGGGCTCACCTCCCACAGGAATGACTTGCACTTGAATCCTTGTCTCAGGCTCTGCGTCTGGGATAATGCAGGCCATTGCTCCTGTCCGTGTCTTATCTAGCGGGATGCTGGCCTTCACACATCAAGGCTGCCCCGGGGGGCAGGACAGAGATAAGACTCTGGAGAACACTGAACTCTCCTCATTCATGGCAACGATCCTGAATCAGTGATGCCCCTCCTGGACTGAGATGCAGATTAACCACCGCTGTGCATGCCCAGGGCCAGGCAATGAACAGGTCCCCAGGGGACCCCAGCAAGGGGGCAGGGTCACTGGCCAGCTGGCTGCGGGGCGGCCCATCCTTCCCCGGGGAAGGACCGGGTGAGCGTGGGTGCAGCTAGGTTTCTGCACAGAGATTCTGAGCGCAGTCTTGGGAGGCAGACGGTGCTGGGTTTGAATGTCAGCTTCATCACTTTCTAGCTCGCTGACCTGGGGTAAGTCACTTCCCCTCTCTGAGCCTCACTGGCCTCATCAGGTGGAGAGGATGTGGACAGATCCTCAGAGGGGGCTGGAGGGAGCATGGATACAGCACTCTGAGCAGTTCAGGTAAGTGGGCAAGGGGTCAAGTTCATGGCCTCGGAAGGTGATTCCAGGGGGCTGGGGGAATCCTGTAAGTGCAGGGGATGGTTGAATGGCACCTTCTTTCTGGGCCACACAAACCCTGCTCTCCTTGCCAGACAAACACACCCCCCTGAATTCAGGGAGCCCTACCCTCATTCTGGGCGAGGATGGCCACTTTGATGCGTCAAAATGAGATTTTCTATCTGGGCGAGACTGGGAGATGCTTGCTCGGAGAACAGCAGTCAGAGAGGAGCTCCCCTGAGAGGCAGACATCCAAAAGAATTGCAAAGAGGACTCAAATGCTGGCACACACACGTTTCACAGCAGCAGTCGCCAAAAGGTGGAAACAATGCAAATGCCCACCAATGGACGAATGGATAAACAAATTGTGCTGTAGCCATACGATGGAATATTATTCAGTCACAAAAAGGAACGAAGTTCTGGGACACGCTACAACATGGATAAACCTCAAATACATTATGCTGAGTGAAATAAGCCGGAATCGAAAGGACAAATATTGTATGATTCCATTTATGTGAAATAACCAGAATAGGTCAATCCACAGAGACAGAAAGTGGATTCATGGTTGCCAGGGCCTGGGGCGAGGAGGGAATGGGGAGAAACTGCTTAAAGGGTGTGGGGTATTATTTTGGGGTGATGAGGATGTTCTGAAACTTGATAGATGAGGCGGTTGCACAACATTGTGAATATGCTAAATGCCACTGAATTGTTTGCTTTAAAGCGGTTAGTTTTATATTATGTGAAGTTCACCTCAAAAAAAAAAAAAAAATGAAGGAGGAGGAAGAGGCACAGTGGGGTCCTTGAGTGGCTCAGTGGCACCCAGTGGGCCGATGACAGAGTTGCAACTGGAACCCTGGCCTCTGGGCCACCTGTGTTTCTCCAGAGCCTCTTCTGGCGATAAAGAGAAACCTGAGTTCTGTCTTCTGGACACATCACCAGTGTCAGAATTCGCCTGGACGTCTTGGGCTGCGGGGCAGTGTCATGGGCCAAAAATATCCAACTTGCGGATTCTCGTGGGAATAGTGAGGTCCCCACCGGTCCAGCTTAGAGGAGCTAACTTCATTCTGAAGTGGATCTTCAGCATGATGGCACCTCCTCTCGTTGCCATGGCAGCTGAGGCTCCATGATAACCAGCTCAGGCCATTTTCGAGAGAGGCGGAAGAGAGAACATTGAGCTTCCCTTTGGGGTTCCCTCTGGTGCTCTTGTCTGCTCGTGGGCTCTCGGTGCCCCAGTTAGCCCCGTAAATTTCACCTGGAAGATGAGAGCTCCTGGTGAGTTGTGGCGAGGATGGCATTTACCATCTCGGGGTGTGCTGGACAACGTCCGGGGTCTACATTCAGGATAATGTGAGGGTCAGAGTGAGAGTGATGGGGAGACAAGAAGGATGCCAGCTCTAGCTATCAAACTGGAGTTGAATCCCAAAGGGGGCGGTGGTAGTGTCTTGAGTCTTAAAGAGATGGAGGAGGCGCTGTGGGTCTCTAACTCTCCCCAGGAAAATGGAGGATGCTGGGAAGGCACTTGACAGATGGACGGAAGGTGGGCAAAGGGCCACCCGAGTCCCCCAAGAGAGCCAGTTTGGGCTACCTGTGATAAAGACGTGCCCCATGTTAGAGAATTGGGGACAGAGGACAGCAGGCAGGACCACGCTGGTTTTGGTATCTGCCAGACACGGGGTCTGCCCCTCCTTGCGTGACTCAATTTATGGCTCACCCTGAATCCACCAGAGTTAGATGCGGTCTCTTCGCAGTGAGCTCACAGGAGCCTCTGATCATGACTTCTTCCCCGCCCCCTTCCTCCCACTGCTCCCCTTGGAAAGATGTCCCTAAAACCAAAGACACTTGGGAATAGGATCATGGGCTCATTATTGTTCATCTTTGAGAAGCCCAGGGAATAGGGGAAGTGTTGAAAATCTGGGAGTGGGCAAGTACCTCCATTTTTTCCTAATGGATATTGGAAATGATGGGCTGATATTCAGGAGAATTGGGGAACAGATTATGAAACAGCTGGCTTGGGGTTATTTAAAAATAAGGTGGTGATCCCTATGCGTCCCTTGTGTTCATTTATGTCATGTGAAACCCCATTTCCTTTATTGCTTGTGGTCTGGTCATGCGGGGGGAAATCATAGACCTGGAAATGCCAATGTCTGGCCAGTGTGGTGACTGAGTCCCATTTTGCCCTTTCTCTAACTGTTCCATGTGAGCCTTACTTCTCTGGCAGGACTGCTAGCTCTGCTGGGGGTGGGGGTGGGGGTGGCCCCTGGGGCCTCCCTGAGACCTTCAGGGTTCCTGCAATGGCCTTGTGCTGGGCACACTGGAAATGTGCTATAGGTTTGTGGAACTGGGTTTTCTGGGGGTCCCTGCAAGAGATGCGCAGTATAGAGGACAGCTAGGAAACTTGAAACCAGAAGTGGTGGCTTCAGATGCCACCTGGGTCCCTTACAGTGGCTGTGGGCACTCTGTTTGCCTTTCTGAGACTTAATGTCCTTATCTGAGCAGTGAAGACGATAAACAATATACACAGAAGTGTGAAAATTAAAGGAGACGTCACAGTATTAGAATAAGAAAAATATGTTTTGAGCCCTTACTACCTGCCAGGCACTATTCAAAGTGTTGCTCCCTCCCACGCATTCCAGAATTTAACCTACACAACCCTGTGATGTGGGTTCCATCATTATCTCTACTTTATGGGCCAGGAAACTGAGTCTCAGGAAGGGTGTGAAGCTTGCCTAAGGTCGGGCTAACGGGCATGGACAGAGTTGAAACGTACACCCAGGACAATTTGGTTATAGAGGCCACTGGAATCATCTAGCACCGCGGTTCTCAAGCGTGAACGTGCATCAGAATCCCCTGGAGGGCTTGTTAAAACATAGATTTCTGGGCCCCACCCTGGAGTTTTTCATCCAGCAGCTCTGGGGTGAGGCCTGAGAATTTGCATTTCTGACAAGCTCCCAACCAGCTCTAGAACCTCTGCTCTAGGACCACTTTCTAGCATTACTGCTCTAGAAAATAGGAGGTGCTAACGAGAAGGCAGGTGAAAAAAATCAAAGACCAAACCTATACAGGTTGTTAGGCCAAGTGGTGTAGTGCCAGCGTATGCGGGCATGAAGTCGCAGACATGGCCTCAAATTCTGACTCCTCCATAACCGTGTTCCCACCAGCAGGGTTAATTGAGGGGCATACTCGGAGGCCCTGCGGGTTAAGCACCTGGTACTCGGGGACACGTCTCTCCAGTCCTCTTACGCCGGGGGTCCAGGCTTTTGGTGCCGGGTCCGTGGTCGCGCGCCGCCAGCTCGCCCGTCTCCATCCCCTCGGCGCCAAGTCCAGCTGGGCAAGCGTTGCCATGGCAGCGCCGCGGGCGGGGATGCGGGAGGCTGAGCGCGCCGCCGGGCTCGCCCCTTTGTGCAGCGGGGGCGGCCGTGCGCTCCCCCTACTCCCTGCGGCCTCCAGCCTCCCGGTCCCGACCCCTGGGAGCGGGCAGAGGGTAGGGTGTGGGGTTGCAGGGGCGCGGGGAGGCGGGAGGAGGGCCGAGGCGAGGACCAGGGGTGGGGCGCCTCCGCCCGCCAGCCGCTCCCGCATTAAAATTTCATGGGCGCTGCAGCAGCTACAAAGACGACGCCGGCTGCGCTCGAGGGACCAGAGGGAGGGAGGCTGCGGACGAGCGCGGGGAGGAGTTTGCGATGGGAGGCGCTCGCAAGGGCTCCCCCAGTTCTGCGCTGATAGCCCGGGCACAAAGAGCCCTCTGCACTCGCGCCGCAGGACCGCCGACCCGAGGTAAGCCGCCGCCCCGTGCTAACAGCCCTGCCTCCCCAAGGGTCCTTGTCCCCGGCCGGGAACAGCCTAATTCCCGGAGGTTGGGGTCGACAGCAGGCCCCAGGGTCTTAGGCAGGGTTCAGGGGATGGCAAACGCTGCCTGAGTGCCCCTCGTTTGACGGATTAAGAACGTCTCCAGCCTGCAGCTGTCAAATGCAGCCAAGACTCGAGGCTGGGTGGGGCAGGAGACAGGGAGAGGCGACGATGCGCTGGGAGCCTGGTGCGGATGGGGGTCCTGCAGTTAAGATCTGAGGGGGAACAAAGACCAGCCCCCGTACCAGACAGACGTGAGGGGACCTTCTCTGACCACCAGGTTAGCAGTTAACTGGCCAAGCCCTGGACACAGCCCAGATGGTCTGGAAACTGGGGGGGGTGGGGGGGACACGGTGCTTGAGCCCCCTGCCCCTCATAGGGAGCCCATCTCTCCCAGCGCCTGCCAGTGCTCCACTTCTGGGACTCCAATTCCAGATGTCCGGCGCCCCGCGTGGTACCAAAGGGATGGCGAGGGCCGGAAAACCACCTTCTTCGAGAAGCATATTGACATTGATAATGATAATAATAATACATCCGTTTGTGGAGGGCTTACTCTATGCCAGCAACACGCTTAGTGCTTTGCACGCATTATCACAACAGTCCCACAAGGTGGTGAGCGCTCCATTTTAAAGATGAGGAAATTGAGATCCAGAAAGGGTTAGGTCCATGTCCAAGGTCATACAGCCAGTGATTTTGAATCCAGATATGTCGGACTCTCAAGCCCATGCTACATCCCCAAACTGGTCTGGGGAGACCCCAGAACTCACCAGCTCCGTTCCCACCTCTCCTCTTCAATGCACTCCCTGGAGAGGCTGGGAATTCGGCAGAGAGGGGGCTAGATCTCTCCTCTCCCCCAGCGGAGGGCCCTGAACTAGAGAAATCGCTTCTCAGACTGTGCAGGGGGAGGAGACCCGGGGGTCCTGGATTCCCCACCCTTATCCCAGGCTCCAGGCCAGTGGCTGCGGTGCGCCCCGGATTGCTGGCGCGCACACCCCACTGCAGTGGCGGCAGGGAGAACGCCCCCACCTGCTGCAGGGGGGAGCGGGGGAGGGAGGCAGGCGTGCGGGGAGGGGTGAGGAGAGCAAGGCGAGATTCCGTGCGGAGGCCGCTTTGTTTTTCCCGGTGCCAGCCTCAAACGGAGCGCGGTCCCGGAGCGGAACCTCATTCTGGGCACCGTGCTTTACTTTCCGAAGCGCGTTCCCATTTGGGAGCTTCGCGTCGCCTGGGCTCCGGGGGAGGGTAGGGGTGAGTAATTCTACTTGACAGACAGGGAAACCTGAGGACAGGGGCTCTCCGACTTTAGGGGCGGGGCTTCGGGTACACAGATGTCCGGGCCACGTGGCCGGGGATGAGTCAGCGGCGCTGGGGTGGGGCCGGGCATCTGGATGTGGCTTCAGCCCCCTCCTCATGCAGGTGGCTGAGACCAGAGTGCCCTGACCTCTCATCTCACCCAGAGCCCGGAACCACATAGCAGTCTCGGCAAAATGGTTTCCTCAGGGACACTTTACCAGCGCCTAGCTTTGGGCGGCATTGAACACATCCCACACTGAGTTTGGGTCATTTGATGTAGAAAGAATTTTGCAGTAACATCCCCCTTGCCCCTATGCCCACCTATTTTACTATTTAACGACTCTCACAGGCCAGAACGGTTCTGAAATCTACGCCATATCCTTCTTGCTGGGTTTTTGGGCTCCGTGTCCCTCCTTAAGCGAGGAGAGAGCTTAGCTTTCGGAGTTCCCAAAGGAGCCACAACTCCTTACCAAGAGTTTTGGAAGAACCACTCTCTACGCCTGCGTCAAAAATGAGAATTTTATAATTTTTGCTATTTTTTTACGAATTTAGTAAGTTTAATAAAATACATGATAATTGTAGAAGATCTGGAAAACACACACACAAAAGAAAAGAAGAAAACTCTCTAGTTTCATCGCCCAAGAATAACTACCATATTTACTATTTTCTATTACTGAGAATGCTAATTGAAACTGTAAACTGTGCGTATACTGCTTGTGAGGTTCCATCGGATGTGTTTCTCTGAGTCTTTATGCCCTTTGCGGAAATCCTTGCAAGAGCGTGAATGTTTCATGGAACAGATGGACATGCTGTAGTCAGCCTCTGTTGTTGGACCTACCCGTTTTTTCCATTTTTCATTTTGCATCTTCGTTTTTAAGGTCCGTTCTCTGGATCCCATCCCTGCTTCCGCCCAGGGCGGGGGTTGCTCTTTGAACGGATCACTCATGGAGGCAGTGCCACGTGGTGGAGAGAGGAGGGATGGACAGTGACACAGATCTGTGTTCCAGTCTTTCTATCCACCTTCCTTCTGTGTCAGTAAGGAAGCTCCCTTCTCGGAGCCTCAGTCTGCTCATCTGTAAAGTGGGGCTCATAATCCCGGCTTTAAAAGGCTGTTGCGAAGCTATGAGCCAGTGTGTGGAACGTGCCCGACGTCTAGGAGGCGCTGGATAAGGACAGCGCACCCTCTGTGTACCGCCTGAGTCCGCTTACATGGCCCCTGAATCTTGTCTGGATACTTAGCTATTTGTTTTCTTTGTGTCACAGTTTATTTGTGTTGGCTCCTCTCCTGGGAGATCCCTGGGCTGTGGGAGCAGCAGTGTTTCTGGGGCACTGGGGCCATTGTGCAGGTTCCCTGGGCTGGTGAATAACCTACAGTCTGGTCCTTTGTTCTGAGGGGGTCCTTCCTCTTGTCTCTGTGGCTCGGCTCATCTGTCAGCTGGAGCTCCATGGAACAATAGCCAGAGACACTCGGGGACAGAGGCGGAGGCTCGCCGAGGGTGACATCTGTCTCCTCGTCCTCTCCAGGCTGATAGGATCAGACGAGGCAGGTGTCAACTTCTCCCTTGTGGTGCCAGGTGGGCCCCTCTGGAAGCTACTGGATGTTATGGGAGGGGGGAGGGGCTGAATTGTGTCCTCCAGGGTGTGGAGCAGGTGACTAATGATAACCAACTCCAGCCAGCAGTTAGTAACCATGTACCAAGGTTCTTACTGAATGCTGCCTCATGGAGACCCCAGGATGAGGCTCGGAACTGGGCATTACAGATGAGAATCTGAAGCTCAGAGAGGTGAAGTGACTAGCTCCGGGTCACACAGCACATGAGTTGCAGAGTCTGGATTTGAACTCGGATCCACAATAACTCTGAAACCTGTGTTTCTAACGACTGCTCTCTTCCTCCTCTCCCAAAAAGGAATTTAATCAGTTGCCTCGAGACCATGGAAGCAACTAGAATAAACGGATCTGAGATGGTTTAGCCATCATGGGCCAGTTTCTTCTCAGCGATAGTAATGCTGACGACCCCAGTGTTTGCGGTTTACACACACCCTCCTCAAGTCTTTTCTCATGGTATCCCCACCCCCGCATTTGAACATAAGTCTTCTGCCCCTTTGGGGGTCAACAGGCCTGTGCAGAATCAAAATGCACCACTCTCCATCAACGTGATCTTGGAGCAAGTCACTTAAACCCGAAGCTCAGTTTCCCCATCTGTAAAATGGACACAAAAAACCCCAACTCATCGTTTCATCAGGTAGGTAGAGGTGCCGCCATTAGTATCTGTTCTCTGTAAATGTGAGTTTCCCTTCCGTTCCCTCCTCCTTGCTCTTTCTTCTCCCCCCCGCAGCTCAGAGATTCCCTTGTTTGAGGGAGATCTGAATTTTGAAGCTCCCCTCTGCTGTACGTGTTCGAATTCATCCAGAAACAGCACTCTCTGCTTCCCCGCGGGAGCCTCTCTCCCTGGCACGTCTCCTGCACGCGCCCCGCATGCTCCTCGTTCCCAGGAGCTTCCGTCGTCTCTCAGCACTCACTCATCCAAAGCAATTTAGGCCAGCGGCGCCTGCACGCTGCAGCTCTCAGAGCAGCTATTTTATTCCAGAGTTAGGAAAAAAACCCCAAAACCCAGAGGGATCCTAAAATGCCACCAAATGCGTATTTCCCTGGTAGCAGCTCTTCCGTTACCAGGAGCAGTGCACAGAGTTTAGGGGAGAAATGAACACCCTGTGGGTGGTGTTAGGAGCAGGGTGGGCAATGGTAGTAATGATCGTGGAAGAAAAGAATAGAATGCAAGCCCGTGGATGATATTCACCACCCCATGTAACCTTCACAGTGGCCCTGTGCGGTGGGCGTCGCTCTCATCCCCGTTTCCTGGGTAAGAAGACAGTCCCAGCACAGCGGTGCACGTGCTCACGGTGACAGAGCAGGGATGGGACTCCATCCCGGAAAGCCTGCGTCCTTTCCAGCGTCTCGGGATGCTTGGGTCGGCATGGGCCCGACCAGGAGACCTCCCGGTTTCCTGTTTTGCTTCCGATCTGCATCCGAGGAGGTCAGTTCTGGCAAAAGCTGTGATTTCAGAACAGGAGCCCGGAATCCGTTCCCCAACGTGCCCGTGGGTACATCTTTCTTCCCTCACCCTTTCTCTCTCTCTCTCTCTCTCTCTCTCGCTCTCTCTCTCGATGACAGCTGAGGCATCACCCTGCCCACCCATGTCGTTCCAGACGCCTTCCCGTGGCCGCCAGGACCCTGACAGCATCAGAGGGATAGCTGAGGGGACCCTTTCTCTCCTCTGCGCCCCCAGGGACGGCAGACACCAGCTTCATGCCGTGTGGTCAGATCCACCACGAAATCCATACGTGCAGAGGCCTCCTGAATCTCAGAGGTAGGTGGGATCTCTGAGGACCCTATGGGGGCCAGGCCCTCAACTGAACTTCCCTGATGGGGCCCTGACCTTGACTTGAAGTCCGGGGAGGGTGGGGAGGTCCATCTGGGCAAGTGGGAGCTGAGAGGCCAGAGCCCGCGGGCCACCACCTGGTCTCTGTATGACCTTTGATCTGACCCTTCTTGGTTCTTGTCCTCTGTCATTATATCTAAATGAGTTTTGAAAGAATAACTTTATTGAGGTATAATTTACATACCGAAAATGCACCCATTTAAAGCACACATTTCAATTTTTTTTTTTTTTTTGAGGAAGATTAACTCTGAGCTAACTGCCGCCAAGCCTCCTCTTTTCGCTGAGGAAGACTGGCCCTGAGCTAACATCCGTGCCCATCTTCCTCTACTTTCTATGTGGGATGCCTACCACAGCATGGCGTGCCAAGCGGTGCCATGTCCGCACCCGGGATCCGAACCAGCGAACCTCGGGCCACCGAAGCGGAATGTGCGCACTTAAACGCTGCGCCACTGGGCTGGCCCCCCATGTTTCAATTTTTGATAGATGTTTTGATAATACATAGGTCTTTGTAGCCACTACAATAATAAAGGTATAGAACATCTCATCACACCAAAATGTATCCCCGTCCCTTCCTGTCCCTCCCAGCCTCAGCCCCAGCCCACCACTGACCTGCTCTATGCCTCTAGAATAGACTTACTTTTTTCCTAAAGTTCCATTAACATGAACTCTTTTGTGTTGGCTTCTGCTATGCACAGTGTTTTTGAGGTTCATACTTTTTATTGCACATCTCAGTAATTCAACCCTTTTTTGCCTAACTTCACTGAGGCATAGTTTAAATATCACATAACTCACCCATTTCAAGTGCACCATTCCATGATTTTTCAGTAAATTGAGCAAGTTACACGCCCAGCACCATAAATCAGTTTTAGAACATTTCCACTGCCCCCTGTAGGATTCCTCACGCCCATTTACTGTTCAACTCCATCCCGCGGTTAATCCCGGACAACTGCTGATCTCCTTTCTGTCTCTGTAGGTCTTTGCTTTTCTGGACATTTCCTAAAAATGGAATCGTGCAGCCTGTGGTCTCTTGTGCCTGGCGTCTTTCGCCCCGTATGATATTTCTGAGGTTCGGCCGTATCGTAGTAAGTATCCATCGTTTGTTGCTTTTTATCGCCGAGTAGGTTTCGTTATACGAGGGTGTCACAGTTTGTTAATCTCTTCCCCAGGACGGGAGATTTTAATTTGATCTGTGCTTCCTAACTGGGCTATAGATACCCCCCGCCCTGGGGAGGCATCTAATGCCCCAGGATAAATATGGCCCATATTTCTGAGACATCAGTGTTACACAAATATTTACTCAAAGTTTAAATCATTCGCTGGTGAAAATAATCTTTTGGAATACTTACTGTGTGCCAGGCGCTGGCTAAGCCTTTGAGGATAATTCACTTTGAGCCCCACGTTGTGCACATGGGGTTGGGAAGGCGTAGTCTTCCTCGTGTTCCTCTGACCTCAAAGCCCAGCCTTCCTTTCTACCCTCAAAGCTGACAGCTTGACCCAGGAGCTAAAGTTTCCCTTGAAACCCCCATTGGCTTATTAACCTCAGGGATGCGGGTCCACGGGGCCAGAGGAAAGGGTCATTGCGGTCCAACAGCGCTCCTCTGAGCAGCCAGGGTCTATTTTCAGAGTGCGACGAGTTCCTGGGATGCAGGAGAGAGAAGGGAATGTCAGGGTTCTTCAGGATGCCCACAACCACACCGGGGAAACAGCCTTGCAGATAAGTATTCAAACTTACCAGCCCCCGGCCGGCCAGCCTGCCCCCCTCCTGGTCTATGCAGGAGAGTGTGGCAGCCAAGAATCCCCACGGGAGGGGAGAAACTGGTGACGCAGCTCCTTGGCTTTTCACCTCTTTGCCACAAAGAAAGAGCTTGTCCCCATTTGATGGGGCCCCCGAAAGGGTAATTTTCATGCCCCGCTTTTGGCCTCAAGGCTTGTATTTTATAAATGCCCCCATCAGGAACTTCTGAGAGCTGAGTTGAAAGACTTGTCTTGAGGACCTGTAGACGGGTGTCAGAAGGAGGCCCGGGACTCCTGGAGAGTTGGGCTGGCGCTTCTCTTCTCTTCTCAGCTCTAGCCCTTTGCCATTATATTTATCAAACGTGGCCAGGGCTCCTTTGCCAGGCAGTCAAGAGGGGACCTCAGTGCTGTGCCCTCAGGGCGCATTCTCATCAGTGCAGGGGTCTGAGTACATCTCCGGCTCTGGGCCCGCGCCCCAAGTCCTGGGTGCTGACAGCAAACTCTGAAAATTCGAGCAGAGAGCCCCAGACTCTCCTGCGGTAGGTCTGCCACTCAACAAGGATAGCTTTGCTGTCCCCAAAAGCAATACCTGGGGGATGGTTCTGGGTCAGGATTAGTGGGCAATTGGAGGAGGGTGGGAGGGGGCAGAAAAATAACCGGCTGAGCACAGGGCTCCTCCTGTTTTGCATCCACTGCCTCCAAGTATGGGTTACTATTGCGCACTTTGAGTGCACGGGTCCCACGGCTCAGAGAGAGGCACAGACTTCCAAGGGCTGCACAGTACGGCAGAGCTGGAACCAGGACTCTGGATTCCTGACTCTGTTCAGCTGAGTCTGTCTTTACTTTCTCCTGGGTCACATTCTGCTGATGTTGGGAGGAGGCAAGTGGGTGCAGGGTGCCCCTTCCTCACTCCAGGACCGTCTGGGTTGGGAGGAAGGGAGGTGAAGGGTGTGTGCCTAGGCCCAGCCCCCCTGGCTCCCGGGCCGCCTTCTTGCTGCCAGAGAAATCTGGCCAGGCCCGGGCTGGGGAGGGGGCCTGGGCGCGGTTTTCTCCTGGGGCGTGGCTGGCTCTTGTATTCCAGGATGGGCCTTGGGGGCTGCGTGGGGAAGGAGCTGGGAGCGGGGCCTGGGCTGCCAACGCCATGGCCGGGCACTGCCAGGTAAGCCTGAGTGGATGCAGGCTCCACTGAGCTTAGCTTTACGGGGCATGATTGTCCCCCTCCCAAGACCCCTCCCAGGCCTGGCCAGAACATGTCTGCTCCTGAAAAGAAGGGCTGGGAGCCAGGTGGCTGGCAGGCTTGTTCTGTGTGGTCTCGGTGGGGGTGGGTGGGACAAAATCAAGACCACGGTGGTGGGTTCCTGGCAGAGAGTTCACCACATTCCTTTATTCCGCAGAAACACAGCCCAAGCACCTTCTCCCAGCTCGATGCTGAGGATCCAGAGGTGAACACCAGAGATGTGGTTCCGCCCTCTCTGATCTTCAGGTAAGAACGTGCTTTAGCGCTGTCTCGGCGAGGGAATGAGCTCCCCGTCCTGGGAGGTGTGCATGTGTGTGCATGTGTGTTGGGGGAGGGAGGTGCAGAGGTTCCCTCAGCGGGAATGTTCTAAAGGGATCCTGGCCTCCCGAGGACTCGGAAGGCCCTGTGCATACGCCTGACCCCCATCCCTCTCCGCCCACGATGCTCTTGGGGTCGGCTCTGGGCTCCCTTTATAGCTTTTCCATCCCCTGAATAAGCCCTGCTGAGATGGGGTATCCGTGGCTTCCATTGCTTCCTCTCTATTCCTGAGTTTCCTCTAAAAGGTTTTAGTGTCCAAGGCCGTCAACCCCACCCTGTCTAGGTGTTGGGGGCACAGGAGGGAGACTGGGGTCTCTGAAGGTGCCCCCCTCGGAGGTGGGGTTAGACTGGGGGTATGGAGAGCTGGGCACGGAGGCTGTGCCCTCCTCCGAGCTCGCTGTGTCTCCTCCAGGCCACTCTGCCCCAGCTGTGTCTCCAAGACTCTTGGCCTGGTCTTCTCTTTGGAGCCCGGGCGACTCTGGACTCCAGCCACGAGGACACACGGAGGAACCTTCGGTGCTTTTCTGGAGCCCTCAACAATTCCCCGAAGACCTTATCCTTTCCAGCTCCCGGGATGAAGCCTCCTGTGGATAGAGGCCCCCTCCTGGCTGGAGCTCAGCCAAGCACAGGGCCTGGCTGTGGGGGACGGCTCGAGGGGTGTGACGGAGGCTGGCCACCCACCGTCCCCTCTGCACCCACCATGACCCACCTGCTGGGCCTGCCTGTCCGGGCCCGGAGACCCTTCCTGACCCCGTGTGGACTTCATTCCTCCCGGCATCCCTGCTCACGACCAGACAGAGCTCGGCCCGAACCCCACTGACCACCCCGTCCCCAAGGCCGGGTCTCAAAGGACCCTCCAGGACGGACGCAGGAAAGCAGGCTGGGAATCCGGAGGAGCTGCCAGGGGTTGGGGGTGGGGGGGGCGTCGCAGCTCGGGGGTGCTGTGGGCTGGAGTCTCATGTGCTGTTTGTCATGTGAGCGATTCTTATTTTGGGGGGTGCCTTTTGGATGGGGCTTCTCTGTGCTTCTCCTCTTCCTGATGGTCACAGGGAGGAGGCAGGCAGGGTCGGGGGAGCGGGGGCCTTCCTCCGTGTCGCCGAGCTCTGGGAGGGGCAGCTGGAGGGGAGAGGGTGTGCCGCCTTGAAGGGGGAGAGTTTCCTAGAGATGAGGGGACCTAGGCCAGGGGAGGTCGCCAGAAGGAGACAGACACTGGGCTTTGTTCCCACCGTCCAAAGAGAATGGGCTAGAACCCCCCTGGCCCCAAGGCTTGAGGGGTCCCCCCAGCCTGATGTCAGCCCCCTGCTCCTTGTTGCACCAATCTCCAATTGTGTCCTTGGGCAGCAAAGGCAGGCAGGCGGGCCCAGCCACATGCAGCCTCCCCATCACACGGCTGCAGACTCACTTCCGGCCCCTTCCGGGTCTCCCCTTAGGCCAATCCCTCCAGGGGGCCGGTCCCAGTGCTTGTCCTGGAGCAGCCTCAGCCTTTCTTCAAAGCCCCTCATCATTTTCCTGGCAGGGGAGGGGGCCTGCATGAGTCGGCTTGGCTGCCATCACAGAATACCCCAGACCGGGGGGCTTCAAAAGCAGAAAGGCATTTTCTTGCAGTTCTGGAGGCTGGAGGTCCATGATCAAGATGCCAGGGGTGGTTTCCGCTGAGGCCTCTCTCCTTGGCTGCAGGTGGCACCTTCCTACCGTGTCCTCACATGGCCCCTTCTCTGTGCACACGCGCGGCGGGAGAGAGAGAGCACTGATGTCTGTTCTTATAAGGGCGCCAGTCCCATCAGATCAGGGCCCCGCCCTTATGACCTCATTTAGCCTTACTACCTCCTTAAAAGCCCTGTGTCCAAATACAGCCACGTGGGGGTTACAGCTTCAACCTATGAATTTAGCCCGGATGGGGTGCGTGAGGGGGGGGGGGGGGACGACACAATGCAGTTCGCAACCCGTGCTCCCCACAAACCTGGAGCCATCTCCCCTTCAGAGTCCCCACCCCCCACAGGGAGGGGAAGGAGGAGCAGAGTGAGGGAGGTACTGTGCTCAGGTGGCCCCAGGAGCCTTGGGAACACAGGGAACTGGCTGGACCCAGTGCAGCGAGGGGGCGTCCGCAGGAGAGGGATGCCCTGGGAAGGGCCCGGGCACAGGGTCCCGAGGGCACGCTCTCTGCTGTTCAATCTTGGGCAAGTCGCCTCACCTCTCTGAGTCCGATTGATTTCCATTCTTGAAACAGGGGCCCTCTGCTCGCCGGGGTGGGGGGGGGGTGGTGCGCAGGGAGGTTCCCTCGAAATCCCCTGCACGTCCAGTGCCTCGCTCTTAGTCGGTCCTCGGGAGGCACCCCCATCCGTCCGGGAGTCCAGACTTAGAGCATATCTGGTCCAGGCGCTCTGACTGTGGACTCAGCATCCCCGACCCAGAGGTGCTTCTGACGGCTCTTCCCCGGCCCGTTTTCTCAGCATCCCTCTCTAACCAGCTTGGCGAAGTGGCTGCATTTCATGGCCTCCATAGTAGCTCAAAGTGCTTCCTGGGGTATTTCAATTCTACCCTTCTCATCAGAATGGAGCACTTACCGTGGGTCCTTCCCTGTGTTAGGCCTTTTGAGGGAACACAGGGGACAATCTGGCCATCCCACGCGGGAGACAACCAGCTCACATGGAGAATTGGACAATGGGGCATAAAACGGTCCACTGAGGCACAGGTTCGGAGTGTTTAGGGGCTGGGAGTAAGATCCCAGTGCGGGCTGCAGCAGGCTGGACAGGCTTCCCAGCGAGGCAGAACCAAGCAGGGCCACGAAGGATGAGAAAGATGTGGCTTAGCTGAGAGCTTCTAGGGGGAAATTAGAGCAGAGAGTCCCATAACACATTCTAGGAGATGTCACTGCTCTTTAAAAAAAAAAACGTGACTTGAAATTCAGCAAGTTTCTGTAGTGCAGGACTTATCAGAGCCTTTAAAATACTAATGGAGATCTTGAATACTCAAGGACAGACAGAGGATGAAGTGTTCCCCCCAGACTTTACTGGCAACAGAACACTCTTCTTATAGAGCATCATTTAGAAGTGTGGGAGATGCCAGGCTGGGGTTTCCGTGGGAACACCACAGCAGTGATAGGAGATGACATATCTAGGGCATGCTCAGGTGCTTGGCGGCATCAGCTGGGAAGGCTGAAGACCAGGAGGGACCGGGGAGTCCTGGTGTCAGGAGTCAGGAGAGCTCTCTGCAGTTTCATATGCGGGAAGGGCAGGCCCATGGTCGGAGTAGCCAGAGGCTGGCAGTTGTCGATGGAAGACATGCCCACCAGACACGGTGGTTCTGGGGCGTCAGACCTTTCGTGGGAAGATGCTGGTGCGTGCACGTGTGCGTGTGGGAGTGTGTGCTGAGCGTGACAGGATCCAGCCTTCTGGGAAGGGGCTGACCAGACCCAGGCAGGGGGTTTCCAGCCAGGACAAGGAGGACCTATTTTTAGGGGAACTGAAGTGTCTGGGGGGAGGCCCTTGAGGCCTACCGCCAAGAAATGGGGAAGGAAACGCTTTCGGGCAGGATCCATGTGGGTAGGCTTGATTCTGGTAGGGGTGAGGGGTTTGGAGGCAGACCCCTGCCTGGGCAGGCCCGGTTCCCTGGCTGGTCGGGGTGGGGGGGCCTCGGGGCTGCAGCTGGAGGGGCCGGGCAGTGTTGCATGGTGGGGTTAACCTACTAACCCAGGGCTCGGCCGGGACGCTGTGGCGAGTGATGAGGTGCCTGGCCTTCTGCCAACCAACTAACCCACTAACCAGGCCGGAGCATGCCCTACTAACCCCCCGCAGCCAGACCCTACTAACCTTGGAGCTCATGGGCCTTTCAGGGGGCTGGGACGTGGGGGCAGACGAGGCTCCGGAAGGCCCTGCCTGTGGCCTGGGATCTCTGTGCAGACCCGCATTCCAGGACAGGGCATGCAAACAGGACTCGCCACCAACCCTGCCACTTTGTGCTGGGCGACTTTGGGCAAGTGCCCTCACCTCTCTGAACCCCAGTTTCCTCAGATGGGAGGACTGATCCTTCCTTCACAGATTGCAGTGGGATTCCCGTGAATATAAAGGTCTTGGCACATGGCAGGTAATTAAAAAAAAATATAAGGGTGGGCATGGGAGGCCCAGAAAACCTGGTTGATCACGTCCCCTGCCTAGGCCCTGGTCCCTCTGGGTGTTCTGCACACAGACCCTTCTGCCTGGGGCCAGACTCTCGCTTGGAACCCCTAACCGTCTCTTCCCCCCATTCTTCCTCCTCCTCAGCTTTCTTCTCCGTAGGCAGCTCTTTTGTTCGGTTACTAACCCGTCTAACCCGGGGGTGCCCAGCGGCGCCCCGATCATCCTTTAACAAACTAACAGACCTGCGTGTGCTCTTCCTTCTCTCCTAGTGACTCCCGCGTGTGTCTGCTGAGGTGCCCTGTCCGCTGGTGTGTGCTCTGACTTACTAACCCAGCCTCTACTAATCCTGTTTTCTCTTCCTACTAACCCCAGCCCTGCCGAGCTCTGGGCCCTCCCGGGGGCTGGTCCGGCTCCTTTTGGCAAGCAGATGTCCGGGGGCGGGCCCTGCAGACAGACACCCCAATTGGCTGCTTGGGAATCCACTGGGCCAGGTCTGGGGCAGGGGACTGCCCTAGGAACCCCGCCGGTGGCCCAGAGGAGGAGGCGGTCATGCGGAGGTGGGGGCCGCCTGCCGGCATGAGCATCTCTCCTCTGTGCACAAGTCTGGTTGCCACTGGGAGCGGGAGGGACCAGGGAAACCTCTGGGGCGTGAGTGTGGAGGCCTGCGGGGCTGGAGGTGGAGCACTGGGCTTTTCCGCCCTGGGGCAGAGAGGGGGCCTGGGTGTCCTTCTTGGGAGGGAAGCGTGGGCAGAATTTTCTCTGCTGCAAAGTGATGGGCAGACCCAAGGTCCTGCACAGGAAGCCAGTGGGGGGCGTGTCCTAGACAGGAAGCCAGGAGAGGGGCGTGTCCTTCAAGGAAGTCAGGAAGGGGCGTGGCCCACACCGGAAGACAGGGGAAGGGGCGTGTCCTGCACAGGAAATCAGCAAAGGGGCGTGTCCCACACCGGAAGTCAGTGAGGTGAGACTTCCATACATTGGAGGTCAATGAAAGGGTCTTTCTCACGCTGGAAATTACCAACTGGAGCATTTAGCCCAGGAAATCAGAAAGAGGGGGCAGTTCCCATATTTGAAGGGTGGAAAGAGGGGCATTTCTTACCGACGTCAGTGAGAGGGGAGTTTCTGGCCCCACCCCAGGGCGTGAGAAGGCGTGGCCGAGAGATCAGTGAGAGGGGCCTTTCCGACCACCGGAAGTTGGCTAGAGGGGCCCTTCCCCCCCACGCCTGAAGCGGATGTGGGCCATTTTTTCACACCGGAAGTCACTGACAAGGACTGTCACATACCAGGAAGCTTGGGCAAGCAGTGGGGACAGATGATCCGCCCTGGGTCTGGGGTTGCGGGAGGAGCCGATGGGACGCAGGAAGTGAACCCCCGTGGGCCCGCAGGAATCGCAGCCAGGACCTCAGCCCGGCTCCCTGTCTGTCCCACCCACACCCCTGCTCCAGCCGTCTCCCCCAGAGCCCGCCAGCCGCTGAGCCGGGGCCACACCTGGGGGTGATGTGCTGCCTCACCTCCAGTAGGCACCTTGGTCTCTGAGCTACTCGCTCCCTGGCGCCCTCGCACTAACTCTTGCTCTCCCCCAGCTAACCCCTGCCTCGCCCTGGCTGCCCCGGGGGCTGCCCCTAACAGCCGACCCCGCCCGCCTGGGAGTCCCAGGCTCCCGGCCTGACTCCCTCCGAGCGGCTCGTAATTAACCTGTCCTTCACCTCCACTAACGCCTGCCCTCCTGGTCTGTTCCTTCCAGCAGAAACTAATGGCTTGTGGATTTCTTTCTGACTAACAACAGGTCTAACACTCCTCGTCACTATTACTATTAACAGCTTGGATGTCGGCATGGCTGGGACGGGGCTAACACAGGGAGAGGTGTAGCTGGTCGCGACGGATGTGGTCCTCTAAAGGTGGTGCGGGGGTGGGGCGTGGCCGGGGCTGAGGGAGGAGTGGTACCCACCCATGTGGGGTTAGAAGCATAGTCACTTTCCAAGGTTTTTGCCACTGGATATATCCTGTCAACCCCTCATAATCCGCATTTGGGTTTTGGTTCTTGTAAACAATAGCCTTATAGCTGCAGTGGTCCAAACGAGTGGATGCAGCCCTTGCAGCCCTCAAACGCCTGTCTGGTGTGTACAGAGAATAGGCCATTATGTATGGAAGAATCAGTCACCAGCCCAGGGCATAGAGTCATTGATCTGGGGACTTTGGAGTTTTGAAAGCCCTAGGACATAAAGTTTTAGATCAGAATATTCAGAAGGGTTATAAATCCATCGCCCATTTACACCTTAGTGTAAATTAGCTCAGCTTCCTCTTTTATCTTCCATGCAATTTTAGCTGCCCTGACAGATGAGAGTTTGGCTGGAAGGGAGTTTGGCTCTCTTCGGGCATGGGGGAGGTCCTTTGGGAGCAGAGATGGGGAGCCACGGGGCCAGGGTTCCTGGGTGGCGATGAAAGGTGGCATCAGGTTGGGGGTGGGGTGGGAAGAGGGACCCGTTTTTCTGGCTCAGTCAGGATCTGTGGGAGAGGACAGCTCGTGGCAGGGCCTGGAGGATTGGAACAGCTCAGGGACAGGGTCAGAGGCCAGCCTGGGGGTCCTGCAGGCAGTTTGCTACGGTTCTTGAATGCTGATCTGGGGCGGAGAGGCTCTCTGATTGCCATGGGCTCAGAGCTGACCGGGTGGAGCTGGCAGCGAGGCCTGAAAGGTGAGGCAGGGAGGCTGAGCTGCAAAGGGAACCAGAGAGGAGAACGCTGCAGGCAGAGCTGCGGGAGGTGCGCTGGCTGCTGGCAGGGACCCGGATGCGGCAGCGCCTGCCCTGGGGAAGCCCCTCTTCCCGCCCTCTAGTGGCCACTGGTCGCATTTCACGCAAAGCAGGAAGCTCAGACGCTGCCCTCTCCGGGAGCTCCTCTTTATTCGACGACCAAGATTCGATGCTGCTGAGGACCTACTGTGTGCCCAGCACTGCTCTGGGTGCAAAGACCCACACTTGGGTTTTTCCATCATGGTGCTTATACAGCTCCGTGGGGGAGATGGAGAAGTAAACAGATAATGCAGCGCGATGGGTGCCGTGATGGGGGGTCGGGCTGTGGGAGCACCTGGGAGACAGCGAAGGGTGACACGCACCTGCTCTGAGCCAGGCGCAGTGCTGAGTGGTGATGAAACAGCGTCTGGACTTCAGGAGCCTCAATGGTAGCGTGTCGGGTGGGCGTGGGGTATAAAGTGTGGTGCAGGCAGGCAGCGTAGACATTCTGAGGAGGGAGACATCGAAGCCGAGCCCTGGCTGGGGCGTCCGTGCTGGGGATGAGTTCCAGGCAGCGGGAATGGTGGACACAGAGTTCTGGGGATCAGAGAGGATCGGAGAGATTCTGGAAGGTTCGTGCAGAATGCAGCAGGAGACAGACGGGAAGTGGACAAGTCCCAGGCTGGGGGCCGTGGATGTGATCTGAGAAGGGGAGATGTTGGATTTGAGTTTTAGCTGACAGTATGGCTCTTTCAGCCCAGGTGAAAGTCTGAGGTGCTTACAACGAGTTCTGGTTAAATTTTGGTTAACCGGCTAGAACTTCTTGAAACAAGCAGGGCCCTTAGGTTCATCTTGAGATGAACAGGAGCCACAGATGCTCGCCCAGGTGGAAGTAGGTCTGCAGTGACGGGGACACAAAGAGGGCTGTGTTCCTGCGGGGCAGGGGCTTGGCGGAGGTGCCAGTGACGTCTTGGAAGAGGAGCCGTCTCGAAAGCATGTCACCCCGGGCCCTGGTGGGACGCGGCTCCCGGAGGCGATCCGAGGGGCTGTGGCCCAGGGCTGGAAGTCTGCAGGAGAATCCCATTGGAGAGGGAGCCCAGTTGTCTTGTGTGGCCGCGAGGGGGACACACAGGTGTGGAGTAAGCTTCCGCTGGGCTGATCCTGGTCGCAGGGCGGGGCTATGTCTTGGTGGGGAACGAGTCTGAGTCCCTGTGGGCAGAAGGATTGGGGTGGGGCCACCTTTGAGATGACGGTGGCGAGAGTCTAGGATCCTGTGTGTGAGTGTGCGGGTGTGTGAGTGTGGGTCCTCGAGTTAATACCTGTGGAAGCTGAGCCCGAGCAGGCCCACCCTGCCCAGCCTGGCCGCGCCTGCCGATGTTCACTCTGGCCTTCAGTCCCCTGAGCATCAAGCTCACTGGGAGCAGGGCCCATGAGCTGGCGAACTGACCTCCCAGCCTGAAGATGTATCTCCATCTTTTCTTAATAGGCTGTGTAGAGGGGGTGGCCCCTGTGGTCTTGCCTGGTTGCGGTGTGGGGCACATGGTGACACACAGCTGGGGGATGCCAGTGGGAGGGGCGGTCCCATCCCAACACAGGACCCCCATGGCCCTCTTGAGAGTCTGTTCGGGGACCCGTTGTTTTATTCTAACAGACCAGAGAATATATTTTCCATGTCATTGCCTCCCGGGGAGGCCGAATGTGGGGACAGAAATTCTGCTGTAGATTAAAAATCAGATTTTTCCATGGATCCAGCAATGGCGTGTGGACTTGGCTTTTCATTTTCACCCAAAGTGTAGCTCCTTTAGTTTAAGATGCCGTTTTGAGGTTAAAAAGCAATTCATACCCAAGGGATGGCTGTGGACTGGGAGACAGATGGGATGTGTGGTTTGTGGGATGAAGGGAGCCAGTGGCATTTTCAAGGAGCAGGAGCAGGCTCTGTCAGCCTTTTCTTAGGACCGTGACTTTAGAGGTCAATATAAGAGGGTATTTATTTATTTTTTATTTTATTTATTTATTTATTCTTTTGTGAGGAAGATTGTCACTGAGCTAACATCTGTGCCAATCCTTCTCTATTTTGTATGTGGGACGCCGCCACAGCATGGCTTAATGAGCAGTGTGTAGGTCCACACGCGGGATCTGAACTGGCGAACCCCAGGCCGCTGAAGCAGAGTGTGTGAACTTAACCACTACACCCCCGGGCTGGCCCCTATTTTTATTTTTAATTGTGGGAAAATACACATAATAAAATGTACCATCTTAACCATTTTTACGTGTACAGTTCAGTGGTATTAAGTACATTCACATTGTTGTGTAATCATTACCACTATTGGTATATTTTTTAATAGCACTACTTTGTGCCTAGGACAGCACTTCAGAGAAAACCCAGGTTCTCACTGTCAGGAAGCTTACACTTCACTGAGAAAGCAAAGAGTTCCTTGGTGACAAAGAAAAAGGTGGAAAGAATTTAGTGTATCGGGGTGAAGGGCTGGCAAATACATGACACGCGTATTGCCACTCTCCCTTCCAGCACCCAGGACAGACATTGCTAGCTGATCACCGATCTCTCTTTGGGAACCTGGCTGCAGCTTCAGGATCTTTCTCCAAACGGTGCTCCAGGGGTTTTTGGCAATTCAGAGTCAGTCCTAGGATTGAGATTCCTGACAGACCTCGGTTTGAACGCCAGCTTTGCCACCTGCCTGCTGTGAGGTCTTGGGGATAATTCTCCTTCTAGTCTCCATCTGCTCTGTAAAATGGGGACAGTACTCTCACCTGATAGGACTGTTGTGAGGGCTCACAAGGGAGTGTTCCCACAAGCTGAGACAGAGCCTGATGCCTTACAACTGTTTCCCCTGAAATCTCGTTCTAAGTTAGCACCAGGTCAGGGGGAGGGGAGATGAGGGTGGGGCAGTCAGGGAAGGCTCCCTGGAAGAGGTGACACATGTGGGAAGCCTTGAAGGATGGGTAGAATCAATCAGTTGAGATAAAATAAACATGGCGGTGCAGGGTACTGGCAATGATTCCTTAAGATTCATCAGGCCAGTTCTGTAGGAGATGGGGATACAGACGGTGGGGCAGGGCAGGCTGGGCACTCCAGAGGACGTTAGAGCTTGAGCTAAGAGGTGGAGGCTGGCTGCACAGCGACACTCAAGGTGCGAGAAGAAGAGCTGGGGATCTCCTAAGGTTGGCAGAACTCAGCCAGGAGAGCCAAGTGCCTCCTGTTCGGGGAGGAATTGGGGAGGGAGATAGGTCGGTGGTCTTGAGAAGCTCTGGACACAGCTGGGGAGGAGAGGAGCCTGGAGTGGGGGCAGAAGGAGGGCCAGCAGCGGCCAGGACAGCACTCGGGCTGAGCGTGCACGCCCCCTCCCCCATACGCAGAGTTCCCAACACTCCTGGACCTGGTGCAGCCCGAAGGACGCTCTCCCTGTGCCCGCAGAACTGGCTTCTGGCTTTAACTCTACGCCATCCTGTCTGCACGACCTTGAGGAGTCACTGTCTCCTCTGCGCTTGAGACTCTTCTGGAAAAGAAGCAGTTCCTTTGAGGGGATCTCTAAGGCCCTTCTGCCCTCAAAGGACTGGGAGATACCCAACCAGAAGACGACTTCCTCCTGCTCCTCCTGACAGCTTTCAGCTGCTCGTTGGTCTCTTCTCAGCTCCTTTCTCCTCCCTCCCTTTATTCATCCAGAAACCATCTAATGAGACTTCTCTGTATACCAGGCACGGCCCTAGACTCTGGGCTGCCAGGCTGCGGCCTTTCTGTTCCTCTAAGACACCTACCTTGCTCTCTCTTGAGGATCTTTGCACTGGCTGTTCCCTCTGCCCGGAATATGTGTCCCTGTGCTTTTCACACAGCTGACTTCTTGGTGGCCCTCAGGTCTCAGCGGAACGTCACCTCCCCAGAGAGGTCTCCTCTGGCCACCCGATCTCTAGTTACTCTCTCCCTGCAGTTCGTAAACGTTTTGGTCTCGGGACCCCTTTATTGTTCTCACCATACTCGCTCCTGAGTCTGGGCACCACGGACTTGCGAGACTCACCTGGCTCCCCATTTCATTCATTCAGCAAAATCTCTTATCCCCACGGTTTGGGAAGCACGGTGCTGGTGCCCAGGGTACGGCCACGAAGCAGACGGGCATCGCCCCCACCCTGGGGAGCTCACAGTCCAGGGGAGGCAGTCAATGAGTAAGTAGATACGAAATCGCAAACCGTGCCCAGCTCTGTAAGGGTGGGGAACCCCGTGCAGGGAGAAGGGGGAACAGGAGAGAGGAGCTGGTGTCGAGAGTCTACCATGTTGGAAACTCGAACTGAGATGTTTTAAGAACATTTGTCCTCTAATTCATCACTGTATTAGAAATCAAAACTGAGATGTTTTAAAAAGACCTGCTTATCAATTCACTGAAAAAATAACAATAAAAAAAATAAACTCATTGCATGCTAATGTAAATAACACGTTCTTTATGAAGAATAACTCTATTTCCAAAACAAAATAAATTTAGTGAGAAGACAGCATGACGGTTATTAGTTTTTGGTAAGTCCCTTTAATGTCTGGCTTAATGGAAGACTGATTCTGTTGGATTCTAATATCCGGTTCTGCATTCAAGCTGTTGCAATATCACATGTCATGTAAATCCCTGGAAAACGCCACTGTCCACTTGTGAGGGAAGGGGTGAAAAAGGCGGGTGAATGTCTGTCCAGGTCCCCAGATCTCAGGACCACACGCTGAGAACCGCCGCTCTCTCACAGAGACCTGTTTATTTCTTGTTTCAAACTTGTGCCCATCTGAGGTCACCTGGCTTCCTTGTCCCAACCCTTGCTGATCATCTGTCTCTGGTCTATCTCACGCCCCTGGGCGGCCGGGTCGCAGAGCCCCCGGTGGACGCTCCAGGTGGCCACGCCAGAGCTGCAGTTCTCAGGCATGACCAGGAGATGGTGGCATTGCACCAAGACCCCCTCTCATTCTTCATTCCTGGAAACCTGGTTTCTCTCTGGGGCCTCTGGGGATGCTCTTTGAGCATATTCTTTGCATCCCAGAGTTTGAAGGCATCCAGTGGGCCTGGAATGGGTGGGGGAAGGGAATAGGCTGGAGAGAATGCATCTGAGGACAGCGGCCCTGGAAAAACTCTGCTCCTTTCTTCTGAGGGCTTCTGTTCTTAACAGATGCCAAGCCAAGCAACGTCCCCCTGTAAGCCTTGGTTTTCTTCTCTGCAAAATGGGCCGACTGTGGCTTTGGCTTCCTCTGCGCCATGCTTCTCTTGGCAAAGGTCACTTTATTTTGATTACACTGGTGTTTCTGGCAATGCAGGGTCCCCTGCGTTCTGCTCCAGAGTATTCCAAGAACCAGCTGGTGCTGTGGGCTCTGCCTGCAGGCAAGACCGCTTTTCCTCATTCTACCTCCAAACTCTTTACAGCCCACCCGGGTCAACATAAAAGGGCTCTTGCCATTTTCCGAGCGCTTCCTGTGCACCGGGTTCTGAGCTGTGTGGCTCAGCCATGTTGATTCAGGAAGTGCTCCCAATGTTTGAGGGGGTGGCTTTCACCATCCAGGTCTTTACAGGATGACGCTGAAGCTCAGAGAGGTGCAGAGGCTTGCCCACAGACACACAGTTGGAGAATGAGGAAAACTGACTTCAAGGTGGTTACTGTGCCCACAGGCGTACGTCACCCCGAAATGCTGAGTCCATCTTCTCAGTAGGATTGAGCCCAGCTGCTGTCTCTATGTGGCTTCTCTCTGCCGTTCCTCCCTCTCGCTGTGAGCTGGTCACGGTCCTCGGGAAGCTGAACACTGTGATTTTGTATTTACTTGCTGACTGGCTGCCTCCTCTGGTCTGTGAGCTCCACAGGGTGGGGGTGATGGCTATCTGCTCCATGGCTGCACCCTGGGCAATCAGCATCCTGCTTGGCACAGACTCAGGGGTGGAGGGAATTTTGTTGAATGAATGAAATGGGGAGCCATCGAGCCTAGCAAGTGCGCGGTGCCCAGTCAGACCTGGGAGCGGCCAGAGCCACCCCTCCCTGGCTGTGTGACGTAGGGATTGTGCGCTCCCCCCATCAAGCCTCAGTTTTCTCATCTGTAAAGTGGGGATAACACTGTCTCCCTCTCAGAGAGGTTGTAAGCATCCAATAAGAGGTCGGATGCAATGCATCAGCATGTGCTGGGCCCCCCATCCCTCTCTCATACACCTGTGGCTTCTCCTGGCCCTGGGCAGGCGTGACCAGCCGACAGAATCCAGGAGGAAGGCAGAGCAGCCTGCGGATCGAACAGGGGAGCAACTGGACTGGGTCACTGAGCAAGTCGGCAGCTAGTCCTGCCAGGTCTTGGGCCTCCTTGTCCCCCAGGCTCCTGGGCCGGCCTGAATGCAGGCATCTCGGGGCTGCAGTCATGCTGGCCAACTCCCTGGGGGCATTTCCCAGCAGCCCGATGGCAGATAAACAGACTTTCCTACGCAAAGTGCCCACCGCAGGGCCAAAGCCACACAGCTGGGGACAGAGGCCCCCAGGGAGAGCTGGCACTGTCCCGCCTGAAGCAGGACGGGTTTCCCAATCCTTGCCTGAGTCCTCTCCTGTGGGAAGCAGGCTTCCTCCCAGAGAAAAGCCTGGAATGTAAGGAATGCCCGGAGCCTCCCGCCAGGGCCCCAGCACAGAATGCTTTGGAAGCCCAGGGCAGCGGGGGCATTTTCCCAGCCACCTCTGGGCCGCCGGGCCACTGGGGAGTTCATACCAGACATCACCTTTTGGCATTGGGGTCAGGCCTCAACGGCCTC